GGGGTAATAGGGTACTATGAGCTGGGAGGGAGGAGGATTTTAAATTATATTCTAAATTTTACAGGGAGCCAGTGCAGAGAAAAGGAACAGGAGAGATGTGATCTCTTTTCCTAGTTCCTGTCAGTACTCGTGCTGTAGCGTTTTGATTTAATCTGAGCGTCTAAATGGATTTATTAGGGCAACCTGATAATAAAAGAGTTGCAGTAATCCAGCTAGAATAACAAATGCATGGATTAGTTTTTCTGCATCTGTCTGTGATAGGATGTGTCTAATTTTTGTAATATTACATAAATGAAAGAAGGCAGTCCTAGAGATCTGCTTTATGTGGGAATTAAATGACAAATCCTGATCAAAGATAACGCCAAGATTCCTGACAGTGGTGCTAGAGGCCAAGGTAATGTCATCTAGAGTAGCTATATCTGTAGACAGTGAGTACAGGTTGATTGCTTTTGCAGGGTTTGTGGACTTAGAAGCAGCATTTTTTGTTTGTTTTGTTGTTCAGGACTGGTTTTGGAGGTCATAAAAACAAAGACTGTGTTGAAGCCTGATGGCTTTTACTGCTGCAGCATCTCCAGATGGATCAATATCCACCCCCCAGTCCCAGAATCAGGATGTAGATATCTGAAGACTGTGGTCAGGTTTTTCTTTCTGTTTGTCTGTGTACAGATTTACAAATTTGAAACCTACGTCTGTATTTTTTTTAAATACATTTATTTAGTTTCTCAAGTGTTTAACATATAAGTATAAAACATTTGATTTTGAAAAGAAAACAAGAAAATATACTTTTATGTTTTTTCAAAGGCGAGTACTCTCGTACATCAGTTGGAGTTATATTTCACTTGTTTTGGACTAATATTTGAGCGGGTGTCTCTCATATTTACTCCAATGGAGTTGTGTACTTATTATCTATCAAAACACAAATAAACAGCTATCTCTTCAATGATAAGGGTATTAGATTAGAACCAGACTCCAGAATCTTCTAAACCTCCTTCAATCAGAAACATGTCGTAACAGGAAGTAAAAGAGGAAGTTTGATGATGCTGTGAAGTAGCGTGGGATCATGGGAGTTGTTGTCAGTGATGGTGGAGTCCATTCATCTTCAACTCCTCCATCACAGCCGCGGACAAGACCAGACCGACCACTGATGAGGTGATCGGCTGCAACCTGCCGTCATATTCCAGCTTGGATTCATATTCCAGCTCGGATTCATATTGTCTAGTGCTTTTTTCCTCTTGAGGATGCCATATGTTGTGCAGACAGTGATGCTACATTATCTGACACAGATCAAACTTGAATAAAATGAACTTGACTGTTTGGTGTCTCTTTGTCCTTGGCGGGGTTAATGAGCAGCTCAATTCTTTGCATTTTTGGTCTGAAAATATATGTGCAGCTGATGTGGGATCTTCAAACTTCACTAATTCTAAACATTTGCTTCATTGACTGATTTTGAATGAATGAACTAACTAACTAATTTCTGTTGGAAACCAGTAAAATACCCAAAACTGGAACGGTATGAGTTCCTGTATGTAGTTTGTTTGAATAATTGTTTTGCGTCACACATTCCCTCCAACAGACTCCAAAGACGAGTCAGATCAGTATGTTTTGACATTGTTATGAAAAATTAAACAAAGAGGCATTAACAAGGACAGATATTCTCTTTCTGTTGTCAACATTTGGTTTCACACAGACACAGTCTGTTTGTTTGAGCCATCCACGACACCTCCATATGTGCTTTTTATACTACGTCACCTGACAGCACATCCAAACATTACAGCAGACGGATGCATCCAGAAATGACGAATGAATAACTACTGCGTCCTAGTGTGAGCGCAGACACCGACTGAGTGGCTATATTTGACGAGTTGGGAATGAGACCAGCTTGGACCCTTTTAAATACAATATAAGGTCAAAATTACAAACTTAAAGGGGAACTTGGCAACCTTTTCGGCTTAATAAACCTGTTTAGAAATCATTTGGATGGTTAAATGGCCTG